GGGGGATTGCGAGGGGGATGAAGGGACAGGACCTGAAATGTTGGGCCTGGATGCTGATGTTGCCTAAAATACCCCAAATTTTGGGTGATTTTGAGGAGGATGAAGGAACAGGAACCGTTTCCTCCTCCTGTCACAGCCCAGAGCTGCAGCTCCAGGCCGAGAATTCCACACTTTTAACAGGAAAATCCTGAATTTCCCCTCTTCCCTCTTTATTTTTTTCCCAAATTCCAGCTCCCAGGAGCCAGGATCCCGCCCAAATCCCCCCAAAAAAAGCTTTTTTTCCCCCATTATCTCCCACTGAAAGTGTTATCTTCTCTTAGGCCTGGCTCAAGCTCCATAAGCCCAGAATTAAGAGATTCCCCCATGGAATCCTCTGCTCTCCTCCCAGCTCCCAGCGCCCGGGGTAGGTCCAGTTCTGGTTTTTTCTGCCCCAAAAAGGAGGAATTTGGTGGGAATTTGGCTCCTGTCCCGGTGATTCCGGCGGATTTCCTGACGGGAAAGGTCTGGGGGATCTCTGAGGGGTCTTTGCTTTTCTTGGGGGGGTTTTGGGGCTGCCTAAGAGCCAAGGCCAGGTCGAATTAGGAGAATAAAATAAAAGAAATTTAAAAAAAAAATTAAATTAAAAGCAGGTGATTGGGAATAAATAAAATAAAATAAGAGAATAAAATAAAATAAGAGAATAAAATAAAATAACATGGAATAAATAAAATAAAAAGTGGGTGATTTTGAATAGATAAATAGAATTAAAAGAAATGGAATAAAGTAATAAAAAGTGGGTGATTCTGAGTAGATAAATAGAATAAAACATGTAGAATGAAATAAATGAAATGAAATAAAAAGCGGGCGATTCCAAATAAAGAAATAAAGAAATAAAATTAAAAGCAGGTGATTCTGAATAAATAAATAAAAGAAATTAAATAAAAGAAATAAAAGGAAATAAAAAGTGGGTGGTTCTGAATAATAAATAAAAGAAATTAAATAAAAGGAAATAAAAAGCTGGTGATTCTGAGTAGATAAATAGAATAAAAGATATAGAATGAAATAAATGAAATTAAATAAAAAGTGGGTGGTTCCAAATAAAGACATAAAATTAAAAGCAGGTGATTCTGAATAAATAAATAAAAGAAATTAAATAAAAGAAATAAAAGGAAATAAATAGTGGATGATTCTGGATAAATAATTAAAAGAAAAGAAATTAAATAAAAGAAATAAAAGGAAATAAAAAGTGGGTGGTTCTGAATAATAAATAAAAGAAATTAAATAAAAGGAAATAAAAAGCTGGTGATTCTGAATAAATAAATAATAAAAGAAAATAATTAAGTAAAAGAAAAGCAAGAAAGAAAAGAAAATAATAAAAGAATAAAATAAAACAAAAGAATCAAATAAAATAATAAAATAATAGAATGGAATAGAACAAAATAAATTAGAATAGAATGAAATCAAATAAATTAAAATAGAATAGAATAAAATCAAATGGAATGGAATAGAATAGAATAGAATGAAGTAAAATAGAATAAAATAAAATAGAATAGGCTAGAATAAAATAAAATAAAATAAAGTGGAATAGAATAGAATGAAATAGAATAAACTAAATTAAAGTGGAATAGAATAGAATGAAATAGAATAAAATAAAATAAAATAAAGTGGAATAGAATAGAATAGAATGAAATAGAATAGAATAGAATAGAATAAAATAAAATAAAATAAATTAAATTACAATAGAACGGAATAATGCAGTGGAATTGACCCCGTGCTGTTCCTCCTGCAGAGTCTCCCCGGGCTCCGTTCCTCTCGGGGGGCTCCATCATGTCCTGCTTCCCGCAGCTGTGGCACTCCAGCACTCCCGAGTCTCCCTCCAGCCCCGCGCCCGCCTCGCCGGGCTCGGTGCCGGTGCCGCTGAGCCCCATCGCGCTGCCATCGCCGGGCGACGGGCGCAGGAAGGGCCGCTCCCCCGCGGGCTCCCCGAGCTGCGCCAGCCCCGGCTCCCCGAAACCCGCCTCGCCCGTGGAGTGCTCCATCTGCTTCAACACCTACGACAACACCTTCAAGACGCCCAAGCTGCTGCAGTGCTCGCACGTGTTCTGCCTGGAGTGCGTGGCGCGGCTGAGCGCGGCGCTGGGCGCCGGCGAGGAGCTGCTGCCGTGCCCCTTCTGCCGCCAGCCCACCAACCTGCCCAGCCGGGGCGCGCCCGGCCTGCGCACCAGCAAGGAGCTGCTGGCCACGCTGCCGCCCGAGCTGCAGCACGAGCGCGAGCTCTGGATGGAGGGAACCAAGCTCTGCTGCCGTCGCGCCTCCGACGACGCCGAGAACCCCGAGTCGTGCGTGTCCATCGACGTGGCCATGAGCAAGGCCGAGAGCGCCGAGGCGGCCCCGGCGGGGCTGGCGGGGCGGCTGTCGCGCTGCGAGCTCTGCGACGACTGGAAGCGCATCGTGCTGCTCTCGGCGCTCCTCATCATCCTCTTCTGCATCATCCTGTGGCCCGTGCAGTGCGCGCTCAAGACGGGCAACCTGCGCTGCTTCACGCGGACTGCGGCCGTCAGCCGGCCCGAGCTGCTGCCCCCCAAAGCCACCGCGGCCGCCGCTGCGGTCACACGGCCGCCCTTCCACTAGGGACGGGGCCGCTGGGGCTGCTCAGGGGTGGGGACAAGGATGGGACCTGCTGTCCTGACAGGATCTGTCACAGGGCCGCTCTTCCAGAGCCTCTGGATCTGCTCAGGGATGGGGATAATGATGGGACCTTCTGTCCTGAGAGGATCTGTCACAGGGTCGCCCTTCCAGTAGGGACGGGGCCACTGGATCTGCTCAGGGATGGGGACAAGGGACAGGACCTGCTGTCCCAACAGAGTCTGTCATGTGGCCACTCTTCCAGAGCCTCTGGATCTGCTCAGGGATGGGGACAAGGGACAGGACTTGCTGTCCCAACAGAATCTGTCGCATGGCCGCCCTTCCAGTAGTGCCAGAGCCTCTGGATCTGCTCAGGGATGGGCACAACGATGGGACCTTCCGTCCTGACAGAATCTGTCACACGGCCGCCCTTTCAGTAGGGACAAGGCCACTGGGGCTGCTCAGGGATGGGACCTTCTGTCCTGACAGAATTTGGGACAAAATCCCCATTCCAGTAGTGCCAGAGCCCCTGGATCTGCTCAGCGATGGGGACAAGGGACTGGATCTGCTGTTCCAACAGGGTCTGTCACACGGCCACCCTTCCAGTAGGGACAGGGCCTCTGGATCTGCTCAGGGATGAGGAACAGGAACAGAACCTCTTGTCCTCACAGAATTTGGGACAAAATCCCCATTCCAATAGAGCCAGAGCCCGTGGATCTGCTCAGTTCCATGGGGACAAGGGACAGGACCTGCTGCCCTGACAGGATTTGGGACAAAACCCTTCTCCAGCAGCACCAGGAGCCCCTGGATCTGCTCGGTTCCATGGGGACAAGGGACAGGACAAAGCCCTTCCCTGGATCTGCTCAGGGATGAGGGACAGGACAAAGCCCTTTCCTGGACCTGCTCAGGGATGAGGGACAGGACAAAGCCCTTTCCTGGATCTGCTGGGCTCCACGGGGACAAGGGACAGGAGAAAAGCCTTTCCTGGATCTCGGCTCCATCCCCACTGCCAAGCAGGACCTGCTGCATTCCTGGGATTGCCGGCAGATCCCACATCCCGCTCACTCTGGAATGTCCTTGTACCTCTGGAATGTCCTTCCCGTGCCTCTGGAATGTCCTTGTGCCACTGGAATGTCCTTCCCGTGCCTCTGGAATGTCCTTGTGCCACTGGAATGTCCTTCCCGTGCCTCTGGAATGTCCCCGCGCATCCCGCTGCCTGGCTCTCCATGGAATCCAGGGCTGGGAATGCACCGAGATCTTCCCAGGATCCCCTTCCCAGGATCCCCTTCCCAGGATCCCCTTCCCAGGATCCCCGTTCCTCCAGTTCCTGAGGGAATAAAGGGATTTTTTTTTTTTCTGGAGCAGCTCCATGATTATTCCCGTGAGGAGCTGGGATGGGGAGGGCTGGATGAACAGATGGGAAACATCCGAATTCCAGAGGCTGGGAGGGTGAAACACCCAAATTCCAGAGGCTGGGACAGTCAAACACCCAAATTCCAGAGGCTGGGAAGGTGAAACCCAAATTCCAGAGGTTGGGAGGGTGAAACACCAGAATTCCAGAGGCTGGGAAGGTGAAACCCAAATTCCAGAGGTTGGGAGGGTGAAACACCAGAATTCCAGAGGCTGGGAGGTGAAACTCAAATTCCAGAGGTTGGAAAGGTGAAACACCAGAATTCCAGAGGCTGGGAAGGTTCCCTGGCAGAGGGGATAAAAGACACAAAGAGGGAAAAGTGGAGACTCCCAGGAGCTGAAACCACAGAAGAGGGGAAGGAAAAATCCTGCAAAACCCTGGGATTTGGGATGGAATTCATGGAAAAACTGAATTTAGGAGACACAGGAGCTTCCCCCTTCTCTGCCCAGCAACCAGCACCAAGAAAAGCAGGATTCTCCTTTATCCTAGGGGAAAAAAAATTTAAAAAAAAGAAGCAGCAGGCCCCTTAAAAACCTCTTTAATCGTTTCCAAACTTTATTTCTGGGTGATTTGACGAAAGACACGAGTTAGTAATGGTTACATCATGCTGCTCCTCTACTGCGCGTGGCCCAGCAGCTCCCAAGGTCAGGAATTCACCCTCTCCATGGACACCTCAGGGGTTTTAAATTTAAAAAAAAAAAAGCCAAAAAAAAAAATCAAATCCAGAAAAAAACCCCAACCTTAATGTCTTTTTTTTTGTTTTTTTTTTTTTTTTTTGCACGTTCTGTGGTAGAAATGTTGTTAAAAATGAAGCCCAGGTGAATGCGCTGCTGGAAATTCCAAATAAATTCCAAATGCTCCCTCATGAGGACACAAATCCTGGTTTAAGGCATTTCCAAGCCCCAGCCAAAGCAGAATGAGTTTTTGTCTTTATTTTTGTTCAATTCTTGGGGGGTTTTTTGTTGTTTTTCTTCATTCCTGAAAATCAGCAGCTTCCCCATCCCTCTGGAGCTGGAACACCAGCCCAGTTGGGAATGCCATTCCCAAAATTTGGATGGGGGGGACTCCCAGACCCCTCCCTCCCATCCCACCCCAGCATTTCCCACCAGGAATCCCAATTTGGACCCAGCAGCCCCAAAAAATGGGAATTTTGGCACCCACAGAACGGCCCAGGCACAGCAGAGCCCTCATCCCACACAGGGCACAGCCCCCCATGGAATATTTCACCCTGCATTTTCCACAGGAATGTCACAGGTTGGGAATATTTATTTTTTTTAAAAAATCAAATAAACGAAATCAAAGCAGATCCAAGTGGTTTTTCCATTGGTTTTCCCTCTTGGTTCCACCTTTGTTCAGAGCTCACCCTGAGAGAAGAAATTTGACCTTTCCTGGCTCAAAAGTTGGTGCCAAAACCCCCATTTCAAAGGGTGCCCTGCAAAGTGGGGTGGAAATTTAGGGAAAAAAAAGCCAAATTCTGGCACCTTGGGCAGGAATTCCCATCCAGATCCTGCAGATGAATTCCCTAAAGTTGTTTTTCCACAGAGAAATTCCAGCTGAGGGTGGGAAAGGGACACAGAGGCCACAAAGCAGCAGGAAATCCTTCCACGGAGAAGGAATCCCAATGGAAGATGGGATTTCTTCCAGAGCTGGGATCCATCTGTTCTTCTCCACACCCAGGAGACCCCGAACTGCAGCCACACCCCAGAAAGTTCAGAACTGGCCCCAAAATTTTCCTTTCCTGGAAGAAAATGCTTCAAATTCCCCCAAATGCTCCCCAGCCCCGCTCCTGCTCCTGTTGGAGCCGTTCCTGCTGGGCTGGAAGCATCCAGAGGATGTGGAAGACCCAAAAACTCCAAGTCCACGATGAAAAATTCCAAATTCTCTTGGTGGGAGAGGCTCCAGTGGCAGCTCTGCGTTGCCAGGCTGGGAGGCAGAGGCTGGAGAATGCTGTGGGGCGTGGAAGGACACGTCCAGGAGATCTCTGAGGAGGGAAAAGGGAATCTCCTGGTCCTTTTGGAAGAGGGAGAGAATTCCCAGCTCTTGGAGAGGAGCTCCAAGTGATCCCCAGCATGAGGGAGGCCAAGGCTCGGTGGCTGGGGAGGCTCAGGACACGTCTGGATGAACACAAAATGTGGCAATGAGGTTTCACAGCTGCTCCTGCACGCATCCAAGAGGAAGAGGAGGAGGAGAACCGCTGGAAAAATCCACATTTTTGCCTCCCCAGCAGCTCTGAGTCCAGCAAAGAGTCCCGAGGCGAGCGCAGGGCGAAGCTCGGGCCCGGCTCTCTCCCTTCCAGCGCGTGGCATCCCTGATTTGAGCAGAGCTCGGAGGAGAAAAGCACTTGAGATCCTTACACACATAAATTACAGTGAGAGGAACAGGGGGCAGCAGGAATCAGGTGAACACGGGGCCAGGAGAAGGTTTGGAAGAGCCAGAGCCCGGAGCAGGGTGGAATTCCCACCCCGCGAATCCGTGAAGGCCTCGCCAGCACCAGCAGCGTTTCCCCCACGGGAGAACGGGGTTGTTTTTGGGAACAAACCCCCCAAAAAACAGGAAAAAAGGGGAAAAACAACCCCAAAACCAAAGAAGCTTCAAGTATGAAGAAGATCGACGCTGCAGTGGGAGAGTTCTGGTGTCACTTCTCGGGTCGAGCTTTGTTCCGCTGCTCGGGCCGAGCCTCGCCGCCCCCAGAGCCCGAAAGCAAAAAGGGTTTCCTGCCCTCCCTGTCCCCCCCAAAAATATAAAAAGCAATAAGTTTACAAAAATAGAAAATAATTACAGCAATAGGCAGGAGGGAGGGAGGAGGGAGCAGGGAGGGAGGTCCCTGGGCTCTATTTGGCCGAGCAGTGCAATATCCGCGGCCGGTTCAGGGCGTCCTCCAGCAGGTGCAGCTCCCGCCGGTCCACGAGCACGTCCCGCATGCAGCCCACGAAACCCGTGCTGAACGCCTTGGGCAGGCGCTGGGGCACGCTCAGCTTGTCCAGACCCCCTGGAAAGGGAGCAGGGGTCAGCTGGGATAGGGACAGAGCAGGGGACAGCACAGGGGACAGCACAGGGAACAGGGCACGTCCCACATGGAGCCATTAAACCCGTGCTGAACGCCTTGGGCAGGCGCTGGGGCACGCTCAGCTTGTCCAGACCCCCTGGAAAGGGAGCAGGGATCAGCTGGGATAGGGGACAGAGCAGGGGACAGCCCAGGGGACAGGGGACAGAGCACGGGACAGCCCAGGGGACAGGGCACAGGACAGCCCAGGGGACAGGGGACAGCACAGGGAACAGCCCAGGGGACAGGGGACAGAGCACGGGACAGCCCAGGGGACAGTGGAGGGGACAGCCCAGGGGACAGGACAAAACCTCGTTCCAGCTGACCCCCTGGAACAGAACGGGGTCAGCTGGGACTGGAGACAGCACAGGGGACAGCACAGGGACAGGGGACAGCACAGGGACAGGGGACAGCTCCCCTGAAATGGCACAGCATCAGCTCAGGGCAGGGGATAGGGGACAGACAGATGGCACAGCACAGGGGACAGGGCATTTTTCAGCCATCTGAGAGGCCACAGGATGGCGTTGAAGGAAGGAAGGGACATCCCCAACATCCCCAACATCCCCACCCCTCTGCAGGGGACACGGGGATGTCCCTTGCCTGGACTCACCCAGCCACAGCGCCCCGTCCGTGTCCAGCTGGGTGGCCCCGAGAGGAGAGGAGCCGGCGATGGGGGCCTCGTTCCCAACCTGCAGGGAGCCCTCCCTCTGCACCCTGCTCCCGAGGGAGGGAGGACAGCAGGGATTCAGGAAAGGCCCCGAAAGCCAGCCCAGAGCTGCTCCCTGCAGGTCCTGACACTGGGAACCAGCAGAGGGGCGGATTTTGGGATAAACTCCATCCCACCCCTGGGATTGGGATTTACCTGTGGGGTCTGTCCCCACTGCTGCCCTAAAGTGGGGCAGATTTTGGGATAGCCTCCACCCCATTCCTGGGATATCCACACCAGTGCTTTTCCAGCTGCAGGGCTGTAGTTACTTTATTTTTTCTATATCTTAAACTCTAAAACTCTAAATTTTCCTTTACTTAACGTGTCTCTGCTTTGAACTATAAATCCACATTCTCACTTCTAGCATTTAAATTTAGAAGCCTTTTCCAAGGTCTCAGATAAAATCCTGGGTTTAACTCTAAGCTTTGGCTTCCAGGCCCAAAGTTCTGAGAGTTCTTATCCAAGGAGAGATCCTTCAGGATCACGAAGCTCAGCTGGAGAAGCTGCCTCACTCCCAGCTACTCCATCCTGACCCTGACCCCGATTCTGATCCCGATCCTGATCCCAATCCCGATCCTGATCCAGATCCTTTACTTAACGTGTCTCTGCTTTGAACTATAAATCCACATTCTCACTTCTAGCACCTAACTCTGGAAGCCTTTTCCAAGGTCTCAGATAAAATCCTGGGTTTAACTCTAAGCTTTGGCTTCCAGGCCCAAAGTTCTGAGAGTTCTTATCCAAGGAGAGATCCTTCAGGATCACGAAGCTCAGCTGGAGAAGCTGCCTCACTCCCAGCTACTCCACCCTGACCCTGACCCCCATTCTGATCCCGATCCTGATCCCAATCCCAATCCTGATCCAGATCCAGATCCCAATCCCACTACTGATCCTGATCGCAATCCAGATCCTGATCCAGATCCCGATCCCAATCCAGACCCAGATTCTGATCCCAATCCTGATCCCAATCCCAAACCTGATCCCACTCCCGATCCAGATCCCAGTCCTGATCCTAATGCTGATCCAGATCCTGATCCAGATCCCAATCTCAATCCCCATCCCAATCCTGATCTAGATCCCAACCCAAATCCTGATCCAGATCCCAATCCCAATCCGGGTTCCAATCCCAATCCCAAATCCTGATCCCAATCCCGATCCTGATCCCGATCCCAATCCTGATCCCGATCCCAATCCCAATCCTGATCCCAATCCCTAATCCTGATCCAGATCCCGATCCCAATCCTGATCCAGATCCCAATCCAGATCCCCAATCCCAATCCAGCCGATAATCCCAACCCCAACCCCAATCCCAATCCCGCTCCCGCTCCCGCTCCCGCTCCGGCCGAGGCTCACCGGGAGGCGCGGATGTGCACCCACTGGTTGGTGTTGACGGGCACGCTGGAGCGCAGGGTGACGGCCTTGGAGCCCAGGTCGTAGCTGAGCTGCACGAAGCCGTCCACGATGGCCAGGGCGATGTAATCCGACCTGTCCAGCCCCTTCCCGCTCCACAGCAGCAGCCCCTGCGTCGCCTCGGTCTTGATGCTCAGCTCAAAGTGGTTGGACTGCAGGGCCTTCTCACTGCGGGGAAACCATGGGAGCCCCTCCAGCAGCCTCCCCCTGCTCCTCCTCCTCCTCCTCCCCGCGGGATAAACTCCCCGCCCGTCCCCACCTCTGGCCTGGAGGGTCACGGGTTTTGGGAGAATCTCCATCCCAGCGAGCAGCTCGGAGCTGGGTCAGCCTTCGTCCCACTCCTGGGGTTCACAGGAAGGGTCTGTCCCAGCTGCTGCCCTTCAGGGTGCCAGATTTTGGGATAATTTCCATCCCACTCCTGGGATTCACAGGAAGGGTCTGTCCCAGCTGCTGCCCTTCAGGGTGCCAGATTTTGGGACAATCTCCATCCCACTCCTGGGATTCACTCATGGGGTCTGTCCAGCTGCTGCCTTTGGGGATGGCAGATTTTGGGATAATCTCCATCCCATTCCTGGGATTCACCCATGGGGTCTGTCCCACCTGCTGCCCTTGAGGGTGCCAGATTTTGGGATAATTTCCATCCCACTCCTGGGATTCACAGGAAGGGTCTGTCCCAGCTGCTGCCCTTCAGGGTGCCAGATTTTGGGACAATCTCCATCCCATTCCTGGGATTCACTCATGGGGTCTGTCCCACCTGCTGCCCTTGAGGGTGCCAGATTTTGGGACAATCTCCATCCCATTCCTGGGATTCACCCATGGGGTCTGTCCTCACCTGCTGCATTTGGGGGTGGCAGATTTTGGGATAATTTCCATCCCACTCCTGGATACACAGCAAGGGTCTGTCTCAGCTGCTGCCCTAAGGGTGCCAGATTTTGGGATAACCTCCATCCCACTTCTGGGATTCACCCATGGGGTCTGTCTTCACCTGCTCCCTCTGGGGGTGGCAGATTTTGGGATAACCTCCATCCCACAAAGCAGCTGGGACAGCCTCCATCCCACTCCTGGGGCTGGGATACACAGGAAGGAGATTCTCTGGAGATTCTTTGCTTTTATCCTCGTGGAGCACAAGGATCAATCCCTGCCAGCTGTGACACAGCAGCCGTGGCACCCTGGGGACTGTCACGTGCCAGATTTTGGGATAACCTCCATCCCACTTCTGGGATTCACCCATGGGGTCTGTCTTCACCTGCTCCCTCTGGGGGTGGCAGATTTTGGGATAATCTCCATCCCACAAAGCAGCTGGGACAGCCTCCATCCCACTCCTGGGGCTGGGATACACAGGAAGGAGATTCTCTGGAGATTCCTGGCTTTTATCCTCATGGAGCACAAGGATCAATCCCTGCCTGGGGACTGTCATAGGAAGAGGACAGAGGCAACAAAACCCTTTCCCTTTCCCTTTCCCTTTCCCTTTCCCTTTCCCTTTCCTCTGGAGCTTCCCTGAAGGAGGAAAAATCCACTTTTTTGAATAAGAAGCACAGCCCAAATTGGCCGGGAAAAGGCTGGAAAAAAGCTGGAAAAAGCCGGGAAAAGGTTGGGAATGGTGACATTCCCTCTGCAAGGCAGCAGGGATTAGCTCAGGGAGGGGACACAGGGACAATTGTGAGCTCACGCTGCTGAAGGGCACTGCCCAGCTTAGGAGAACGCTCAGGATAATCCTAAAATTCCTAAAAATCCCTTTCCAGCCCCTCCCAATGGCGTGGACATGCAGGTGGTGGCTCTGCAGCCCCCCATGCACAGGCACAGCTCAGCCCCCACACAATGAGGTGGGATGGGATGGGACAGGCAGGGATCCCCCCCAAATCCCCCCCTTCCCACAGCAGGGAATGCTCTTGCACGGAGCAGGGAGTTTTAGGATCCCTTTTAGGGCTTCCCTTCCATGCAGGACAGACCCACAGCAAATCTCAGCTGTCCAGGGATTGGGATTTGTCCCCATCCTCCTGCCCTGACCCTTTTTCTGACCCCTCATCCACGCTGGAGATGTCCTGAGGGGTTCCCGGTGCCATGCTGGAAAAATCAAGGATCAGCACCCCCAGTTTCCATCTCCAACACCTCTGGCTGCTGCTGGAGCAGAAAACCACAGGGAATTTCCTTCCCTGTGCTCGTCCTTATTAAAATCATGCTTCAAAAATTCACTTGAGGCGTGCTGGGGGACAGCAGCTGGCCGTGGCAGGGTGGGGACAGCAGCTGCGTGTGACACAGGTGAAGCAGCTCCTGCTCAGCCCCACGAGCTGCTGTCAGCACCTGAGCCCTCCTCCCCAGGGAATGGCAAGAGTTTTCCACCAAAAACCCCGGGAGAGGCCCCAGATTCCTCCCCCCCAGCCCTGCCCTGAGCTGCCCCGGGGTTTGGGGTGACAATGGGGACGTGGTGAGGGTGGCAGGGCCGTACTTACGCTGGGATCTCATTGCTCAGGTGGCTTGGAAACAGAGAAACAGTGACATTGAGAAGGGACAGACAGACGCCCAGAGAGGGACAGACAGACACCCAGAGAGGGACAGACAGACACCCAGAGAGGGACAGACAGACACCCAGAGAGGGACAGACAGACACCCAGAGAGGGACAGACAGACACCCAGAGAGGGACAGACAGACACCCAGAGAGGGACAGACAGACACCCAGAGAGGGACAGACAGACACCCAGAGAGGGACAGACAGACACCCAGAGAGGGACAGACAGACACCCAGAGAGGGACAGACAGACACCCAGAGAGGGACAGACAGACACCCAGGGAGGGACAGACAGCACCTCCACGCGGACACCCCCCCCCCAGCAGGGCTGGGAAACCAGGAATGGGAGAGGCAGGAGGACACAGGAGTCTCCTGAAGGAGGAATTTCCAGCCTGGAGGAGCTCAGGGGGAGCTCTGCTCAATTCCAGAGGGAATTCCCAAGCACAAGGAGGAATTTCCAGCTCAGGGAGAGCTCTGCTCAATTCCAGAGGGAATTCCCAAGCACAAGGAGGAATTTCCAGCCTGGAGGAGTTCTGCTCAATTCCAGAGGGAATTCCCAAGCACAAGGAGGAATTTCCAGCCTGGAGGAGCTCTGCTCATTCCCAGAGGGAATTCCCAAGGAGCAGCACATCCATGGACACCCCAGGCTGCTCCCCAGCCCGGGGTTGGGACAGTCCCACACGTCCCATCCCTGCGGGACACTCAGGATCCTCCTCCACCCCATTCCCAGCACCACAGCCAGGCCTGGAGCTGGGAATTTGGGGCAAAACCCGGGAGAACCAGGATCAGCCAGCTCCGTTTGGAGCTCCTGGATCCCGGCTCCTCCTCCCCGGCTCCTGGGGACAGGTACCTCTTGGTGACAGCGTTGTGGTACTCCAGGTACGTGCGGCCGTCGAAGGCCACGGCCTCGGCGTCCCCCGCCGCCTTCTCGATGATCACTGAGGGGAAACAGGGACATGGCAAAGGAACGGCCAGGGGATTCCTGGGAGGTGGGGAAACCCCCCCCAGCAGCCCGGCCAGCACAGGGACACGGCCCCGTGTCCCCAGCGAGTGTCACCCGGGGGTCGGAGGGGCTGTGGAGCCTGGGGGGGATTCAGGGTCCCTCCCAAGCCAACCCATCCCGCAGCTCCCCAGCTGAGATCTCCAAGGGTTCTCCTCTCCCAGAACTTCCTGACTGGTGCTGGTTTTCATCACAACCCCTGCTGGACGTGCTGAACTTCTGCTGGAGGTTTTCCAGGTTTTCCATCCAGCCTCCCGTGGCCACCTCCAGCCCCCTGGGCCACCCCCACCTTCCCTGGGCCACCTCCAGCTCCCATGGCCACCTCCAGGCTCCCATGGCCACCTCCAGCCCCCATGGCCACCTCCCCTTCCCCATGGGCCACCTCCAACCTCGTGAGCCACCTCCAGCCCCCATGGCCACCACCAGCCCCCCATGACCATCTCCAACTCCCCATGGCACCCCCAGCCCCCTGTGCCACCCCCAGGCGCCCATGGCCAACCCCAGCTCCCTGTGCCACCTCCACATTCCCTGTGTCACCTCCACCCTCCCCGTGCCACCCCCAGCCCCCCGTGGCCACCTCCAACCTCCCATGGCCACCTTGAGCCCCCTGTGCCACCCTCAGCCCCCCATGACCATCTCCAGCTCCCCATGGCCACCTCCACCCCTCTGGGCCACCTCCAGCTTCCCTGTGTCACCTCCACCTTCCCCGTGCCACCCTCAGCTCCCCATCCCAGCCCCCGTGCCACCCCCCAGCCCCCCTGGCACCCACCCTTCTCGCAGTGGGCCCCCGAGAAGCCCCTGTGGCAGGAGCAGTGGTAGCCCCCCAGGCTGGGGCTGCAGGAGCCCCCGTGCTGGCAGGGGTTGGGTTTCTGGGTGCAGGGGTGCCCCCGGAACGGGGAGATCTCCCTGGCACTGCGGATGTTCTGCTCCTTCAGCACGGGCACGCCGTCCAGGGAGATCTGCAGGAGCACGGAGGGCTCAGCGAGGAGCTGCTTGGCAGGGATTTCCCAAAAAAATGGGGAATTCTCATCCCTGGCAGCGTCCCAGGCCGGGCTGGGATGGTGGAAGGTGTCCCTGCCCATGGGGAGCTTGAAGGTTCCTCCACCCCAAACCAGGCTGGGATCCTCTGATGGTCCTTCCCACCCACCTCTGGTCATCTGGGGACACCAGGCAGTGTCCGTGGGGACAAGAGGAGATGGGAACCCATCCCTAAGGTGGGAACCCATCCCTAAGGTGGGAATCCATCCTTAATGTGGGAACTCATCCCTGACATGATGGGAACCCATCCCTGAGGTGGGAACCCATCCCTTATAATGGGAATCCATCCCTGAGATGATGGGAACCTATCCCTTAACCCTGAGGTGATGGAAATCCATTCCAAGTGTCCCCAAATCCCCCTTCTGTCCCCCACTGGTGCCACTTTTCCACCACCAGGACAGCTCCCAGGTCCATCCCAGGACAGGTGGGACACTGGGCTGTCCCAATGGACACTGGGCTGTCCCAGCAGGACACTGGGCTGACCAGCAGGACACGGGGGACACTGGGCAGTCCCAGCAGGACCTCACCCTCTGCACAGCTCCCTGGAAGCCGCTGGAGATGGCAGCTGCTCGAGCCAGCTTGGAGAAGTCGGGGGCTCCCCCCACATAGAAGGGCTCCTTGAGGTTCAGCACCATGTGAGGCACCTGGGGGAACAGGGACATCAAGGACAAGGTGTCAGCTCCTCCCTGGCTGTCCCTGCAGGGCCAGGAGCTGGCCTTGATGGTCCTCGTGGCTCTCTCCGTTTGGGAGATTTGATGATAATTTATTTGATGATAATTTATTTGATGGTAATTTATTTGATGATATTTTCTATTTTATTTATGACTCTACGGATGGAGCCTCCAGGAAACCTCCTCATGCCAAGGACTGCCAGGTCCCACCCCCAGCAGGCACCTGGGAAAGGTTTCCCCTGGATTAAATTTTGGGGAGAGGCTCTTCCCACACCCTCAGGCCTGGAGGGGGGCTCTGCTTTCGTGTGCCCCCCAAAATTGGGGTACCCAGACATTGCCCAGAGCCCCTGCAGGGCTGCTGCTCAATCCCAGCCCGTTCCAGAGGGATCCAGCCTGGCTGTCCCAAGTTTGAGGAGCAGGTTCAGCTTTTCTCCTGCACCCCATGGCTTGAGGAGGTTCTCCTGCACCCCACGTGGTGGTTTTGGAGGAGAAAATTCCCTCCTTGCTGTCACCAGCCCCAGGATTCCTGGGAATTCTCTGGGATGGAGCCAGGGCCACAGCAAGGACGGGGTGACATGGAGCACTAGCTAATGCTTTGTGGGATTAACACAAAATAAATGACCAGATTAATTGGAAATGGTCCCAAAACAAAAGGTGACAACTGGCTGGGAATGAAGCACAGGAGAGGGAATGAAGGGCACTAAACTACAGGGATCCTGAACCAGATGGGGAAGATGAAAAGCACAAAAATAGGCAGGAAGGAAGGAGATGAGATGGAGGCGTGGGGGGGTCATACTTATCTGTACCTTACGGGATTTCTGGGATCCAGACAGCAGGGGAGGGGAAAATACAAAGGAAAATCAAAGGGAGAGAGAGAAAAAAACAAAAAAAAAAAAAAAAAGAGAGAAAAGGGACATCAGTGGGGTGCCATTGCAACAGGCAGGGCTGCCACAACCCCGCTGCCACCAGGGCTGGGGGGCTCTGGGGGTGGCAGGGGGTGGCAGGAGGGTCACTGCCACCCAGGAGCTGCTCTGCTCAGAGAGGAGCTTGGAAAGAGGAGAGCGAGGGCAGGAAAATGCCTCTGTTGGTTCTGTGGGCTGAGGGGGGAGCTCAGCAGGGCTTCTCCTGGAAAAAGGGGAGGGAAGGGACCCCCAGGAATGCAGGGAGGGACAGGGAGAGGCTGGAACTGCAAAATTCCCAGCGGGGAGAAGAGCAGAGCAAGCACCAGGGGATGCAGCAGCAGCAGCAGGGCTGGGGATTTTCCTGCTCCCTGAGCTCCTCTCGCTGCTGGGCGGATCTTAATTAATGATTAATTAGTGACCCAGGGGTGCCTCACGTAGCTGTGCCAACACAGGGACAGGTGGGGACCTGGAATAAGGGAGGGGGGGTCCGGGAGAGGGTGGGGGGCTCATCCAAGGCATCCCTGGAACCTGGCTGAGATCTGGGCAGGGACAGGGATCCTTCCCTGCCTGCTGCTCCACCCTCAAACCCACGATTTAAAGCCCAGGAACCTGAGAAATTCCTCTCAAATCCACAGGCTAAAGTCCAGGAAGTTGAGAACTCCACTCTCCCACCTTCAAATTCATGATTTAAAGGCCAATATCCAGAGAAATTCCACTCAAACCACAGTTTAAAGCCAAGGAAACTGAGAATTCCACTCTTCCACCCTCAAATCCAGAATTTAAAGCCCAGAAACCTGAGAAACTGCCCTCAAATTCAGGATTTAAAGCCCAGGAACCTGAAAAATTCCCCTCAAATCCCGAATTTAAAGCCCAGGAACCTGAGAATTTCCCCTCAAATCCCAAATTTAAAGCCCAGGAGCCTGATAAACCCCGGAGGTGAGCAGGGCAGGGCCGGGGTCCCTCCCCACTCACCGGGGACTCCCCCGTCACCCTCTGGCCGTTGTTGACCCTCAGGACGCCCTTGCGGCCGCTCCTCTCCAGCAGGACGCTGACCCACGCGTTCAGGGGCACCGGCTCCCTGCTCCTGCGGGGGAAAAAAGGGGAAAAGAAAGGGTTAAAAGATGTGGGGGAGGTCGCCAAAGCGGGATGCTGAATAATCCCTGGGAAGGGAAGAGAAATTCCTGTTGGGTCTGCCCCGACACAGGGAATGTGTGATTGTCACCCCGAGGAACGGCCGTGGGGGGGGACTGCACACCGGCTGGGCCAGGCCTGGCATGTGGGGACACGGTGCCACCAGTGCCACCAGAGTGCCACCTGTACCCTCACCTGGGCAGGGCCACAGTGCCACCTGTACCCTCACCTGGGCAGGGAGAGTGCCACCACAGTGCCACCTGTGCCCTCACCTGGGCAGGGAGAGTGCCACCAGTGCCACCAGAGTGCCACCAGTGCCCTCACCTGGGCAGGGCCACAGTGCCACCAGAGTGCTACCAGTGCCCTCACCTGGGCAGGGCCACAGTGCCACCAGTGCCACCTGTACCCTCACCTGGGCAGGGAGAGTGCCACCGGTGCCAGCAGAGTGCCACCAGTGCCCTCACCTGGGCAGGGAGAGTGGCACCTGTACCCTCATCTTGGCAGGGCCACAGTGCCAGCAGTGCAGTGCCAGCAGAGCGGTGCCAGCAGTGCCTCAACTGAGTTATGGATTACTGATTATTGATGATGGATTATTTATTATGGGTTATCGAATGGGGTTATTGATTATGGATTATTGATTATTGAATGGGGGTTATTGATTGTGGGTTGTGGATTATTGATTATGGGTTATGGATTATTTATTATGGATTATGGGTTATGCATTGAGGGTTGTGGATTCCGGGTTATTGAGCCCAGATTGTGGATTGTGGGTTATGGGTTATGGATTCTGGGTTATTGATTATGGATCATGGGTTATGGATTATGGATTGTGGGTTATGGATTACAGATTGTGGATTATGGATTGTGCGTTATTGATTGTGGATTATGGGTTATTGATTGTGGATTGTGGATTATAGATTGTGGGTTATTGATTACGGATGATGGATTCTAGATTACGGATTGTGGGTTATGGACTGTGGATTTTTGTGGGTTACTGATTATGGATGATGGGTTCTAGATTATGGATTGTGGGTTATTGATTGTGGATTATGGATTGTGGGCTATTGATTGTGGATGATGGATTCTGGATTATGGATCCCCTCCCCTCCAGCTGCTCCCGGGATAACCCCGATGCCGTGGGCGTGGCAGCAGTGCCAGCCCTGCCAGCTGCGGGGTGCCCAGGGCGCTGTGGGTGGGGTTTGTCCCTCGCTGTCCCTGCACTCACTGCAGGTCGGGCACGAAGCTCTGCAGCCCGTTGAGCTCCAGGTAGGAGAAGCCGTTGAACTCGGGCAGGAAGGGCACGGACTGGTCCTGCTCTGTCACTGGGCACAAAGCGGGCAGCGTCAGGGGCACGGGGCACGGCACGCGTCCCAGAGGCCACCCCGGGCTGGGGACACCCCCCTGCCGTCCCACCTCGCTCGCAGAGGTCCCCTTCACGGCCCATGGGACAGGCACACAGCGGCCCCCCGTCGGGCAGCACCAGGCAGGTGGCAGAGACGTGGCACGGGGACGGCTCGCACGGGTTCCTCTCGAAGGCACACGTGGGGCCTGCGGGCACAGGCAGCTTGGCACCAACCCCCAGGCACATGGCCCCAGTGTCCCCCGTGTCCCCAGGGTCCCCCATGTCCCCAGTGTCCTCCACGTGGGGCCTGCGGGCACAGGCAGCTTGGCACCAACCCCCACAGCCCCAGTGTCCCCAGTGTCCTCCATGTCCCCAATGTCACCATGGGCATGTAGGCATCAAGGCACTGGCACAACGACCCCAAAAACTCCTTCAGAATCCCCCAGAGGGGTGAGAACCCCATGGTGCCCATCCCATACCCCAAAAACCCCTCAGAACCCCACAATGCCCACCCCATACCCCAAAACCCCTTCAGCACTGCTTGGTACCCACCCTGTACCCCAAAACCCCCTCAGCACCCCTCAGTACCCACCCCATACTCCAAAAACCCCCTTGGTACCCACCTTATACCCCAAAAACCCCCCTGAGACCCCCCACCCCACACCCCAAAAACCCCTTTGGTGCCCACCCCACACCCCAAACCCCCCTCGGTGCCCACCCCGTACCCGTGTAGGCCTCGGGGCACTGGCACTGGAACACGTCCTCGTCCTTGGCGTGGCAGGTGCCCCCGTGGTGGCAGGGGTTGGGCTGGCAGGGCTCGCTGCCGCACTCGCCCACGGCGCTGGCGTGCAGGACGTCGCCGGCGCCCTGGCGCAGCTCGTGCCCGCGGTTGTTGATGCCCAGCGCCCGCACGCAGCCCCGCAGGCCGCTGCTGGCACCCGTGCGCTCGGCCACCCTGAGGGGACACGGTGCCACGCGGGGTTTGTCACCGGGGAGGGCAGCGGGGTGGGCACGGTGGGAGGGAGGGAGGGGATGGGAGATGGCGCTGGGTTGGCACTGCCATGGGGACAGTGGCATGGTCACGGGGCAGTGCCATGCTCATGGGGCAGTGCCACGTTCACAGTGCCACCCTCACAGGGGCAGTGCCACACTCATAGGGGCAGTGTCACACCCATAGGGGCAGTGCCACACTATAGGGGCAGTGCCACACTCATAGGGGCAGTGCCACACCCATAGGGGCAGTGCCACCCTCATGGGGGCAATGACATGCTCCTGGGGCAGTGCCATGCTAACAGGGGCAGTGCCACCCTCACAGGGACAGTGCCACCCTCACAGGGACAGTGCCACCTGCAAGGGGCAGTGCCATACTCATGGGGGCAGTGCCACCTCCCAGGGGCAGTGTCACACTCATGGAGGCAGTGCCACACTCACGGAGGCAGTGCCATACTCATGGGGGCAGTGTCACCCTCCCGGGGGCAGTGCCACCCTCCCGGGGGCAGTGCCACCCTCACAGACCCAATGCCACACTCACAGCAGCAGTGCCACCAATCAGGCCCAGTGCCACCCTAACAGTGTCACCCTCAGAGGACCTGTGTCCCCTCATGGGGCAGTGCCATCCCCACAAGGGGAGTGCCACCCTCCCACGCACACTGCCACACTCATGGGGTAGTGCCACCCTCACAGTGTCACCCTCACGGAGCCAGTGCCCCCTCAAGGGGCAGTGCCACCCTCCCAGGGGCAGTGCCGCACTCACAGCACCAGTGTCACCCACCAGACCCAGTGCCACCTGCTGCTCCCCGTGCCCCACTCACAGTGCCACCCACCAGGCCCAGTGCCACCCCCTGATCCCCGTGCCACCCTCCCAGTGCCACCCTTGCAGCCCCGTGCCCACTCACAGTGCCCACTCCCAGTGCCACCCTCCCAGTGCCACCCTCCCGGTGCCACCCTCGCGGCCCCGTGCCCACTCCCAGTGCCACCCCCTGGTCCCCGTGCCCCCCTCGCGGCCCCGTGCCCACTCACAGTGCCGCGTGCTCGTCGGGCACCCCCCCGATGAAGAGCTCGGTGTCCAGGTTGAGCCCGTCGGTGCCCGGGGGGCTGTGCCCGCTCACCGGGGGCTCCCCGTCCACGGCCAGCGTGCCCGTGCGCCGGTTCCGTGTCACCACCAGCCGGTGCCAGCGCCCCGGCTGCACCCGCACCCGGCTGGTGACGGTGCCCGTGCCAGAGCCCGTGTCAAACCTGCCCAGATGGGGGCTGGTCAGTGCCCGAGGTGCCAGCTGGGCTGTGCCAGGGTGGCTGGCACCGCGAGCACTCGGGGAGCCTTCCCTCCCTCCCTCCCTCCCTACTCCTCTCTCCCTCTTTTTTCCCTCCCTCCCTCTTTGCATCCCTCCCTCTCTTCTTGTCTCCTTCCACTCCCTCCCTCCCTCCCTGCCCTGCCCTCCCCCTCCCCTCATTCCAAACCCATCCCCTTGGATTCTGGAATACAAAAAAAGCCACTCTGCCTCTTTCCTCCCTTCCCTTTTCCCCCTCTCTGCATTTCCATCCCAGTTCAAAAAAATAAAAAAAACCACCAAAAAAAGATCTCTCAAAAAATCTCAACCTGCCAAAAAAACTCAACCTGCCAAAAAACCCAACCTGCCAAAAAAACCCAACCTCCCACACTTGGGAGCTTTTCAAAATCCAAAGTGAGTTCACTTGGCTGAAAATAGGGAACAAGCTCCCTCAGTATTCCAACCACACCCTTCCAAAAACCAAAAAAATCCTGATTTTTGTCCACTTGGAGGCCTTTTAGGATAGAAATTCCCTCTCTTGGGATGCAAATTCCTGTCCTGGGCCCAGGGGCTCACCAGAGCTCGAGCTCCCTCAGTATTCCAACCACATCCCCCAAAATTTTTTAAAATCCTGATTTTTGTCCACTTGGAGGCCTTTTAGGATAGAAATTCCCTCTCTTGGGATACAAATTCCCTGTCTTGGGTCCTGGGACTCATCTGAGCTTGAGCTCCCTCAGTATTCCAACCACACCCCCAAAAACTTTTTAAAAATCCCGATTTTTGTCCACTTGGAGGCCTTTTAGGATAGGAATTCCCTGTCCTAGGTCCTGGGATTCTCCTGGGGCTCCACCAGGGGCTCACGTGAGCTCGAGCTCCCTCAGTATTCCAAAAACCAAAAAAAATCCCGATTTTTGTCCACTTGGAGGCCTTTAGGGTAGGAATTCCCCCTCCTGGGATAGGAACCCCCCCTTTTAGGACTCACTCCCACCCCGGGCTGACCTGAGCTCCACGAAGCCCCCGAGCAGAGCCAGAGAGATGAAGTCCTTGCCGTGGCGCTGGGCGTTGTAGAGGAGGAGCCCGTCGGGCTCCAGCGCGCGGAACTCCATGGAGATCCGCACGGTGTGGTACGCCTTCATGGTGCGGAACGCCAGCACGGAACGGCCCCCGAAACGAGGGATGGACGGGCTGGAGGCTGAGGGGAAAACGGGGAAAAATGGGGGGGAGGACAGGGAGGAGAAATGGGAAGAACGGGGGAGAATGGAGGGGAAATGGAGGAAGAAGGGAGGAGGAATGGAGGTAGAAAGAGGGAAGAAAAGGGGGGAAAAAGAGGGAGAAACGGGGAGGAAAAATGGGAAGAACGGGGGAGAATGGGGAAAGAGAGGGGGAAGAACGGGAAAAGAAAAGGGGAGGAAAGGAGGAGAAATGGGGGAGAAGAGGGAGGAAAAAGGGGAAGAACGGGGGAGAATGGGGAAAGAGAGGGGGAAGAACGGGAAAAGAAAAGGGGAGGAAAGGAGGAGAAATGGGGGAGAAGAGGGAGGAAAAAGGGGAAGAACGGGGGGAGAATGGAGGGGAAATGGAGGAAGAAGGGAGGAGGAATGGAGGGAGAGAGGGGGAAGAAAAGGGGAGGAAAAGGGGGGAAATAGGGGTGAAAAACAGGGGGGAAAGGGGAGAAATGGGGAGGAAAAAGGGGAAGAAAGGGGAAGAATGGGGGAAGAGAGGGGAAAGAAAAGGGGAGGAAAAATAGGGGTGAAAAATGGGGGAAAAAGGGGGAGAAATGGGAGGAAAAAGGGGAAGAACGGGGGAAAAGAGGGGGAAAGGGAGAAGAGAGGAGGTAAAGGGGGATAAAAAAAGGAGATAAAAAAGGGGGGAAAGGAAAGGAAAGAAAAGGAAAGGAAAGGAAAGGAAAGAAAAGGAAAGGAAAGGAAAGGGGAAAAAGGCAACTTCTATTGAGTTTGGGTTCACAAAAAGGGCAACTTTTCTGTGCCTCCCTTGGGGTGGTCTGGGACTCCAAATCCCATCAAACCAGCAGGGCTGGACACCCACAGCTTGGAGAGCTCCAGGTGACAGCTTTAGGGACAAAGCTTTTTGGGAATGAGCCCACCCAGAGCCCCTGGTGTGACCCCCAAGTGCCAGGGGCAGCTGCCAGCTGCTGCAAGGGCTGGGAAAGGAGGCTGCACCCCTGTCCTGGGTGGCACTGGGGGACACTGGGGGACACTGCCACCAGCTGGGACAACGAAGCAGCAGCTCCCAACCTCTTTGGGATCAGGATGGAGCCAGGGAGGAGCTGCTCCTGCTCTCCTTTTACAACCTCTTGTACCTGCACAAGCTGCTGTGGCAGAGCTGGCACAGCTGGTGGCACCAAGCCGTGCCAGGGTTGATTTGGGGTTGGCTGGCACGTGTCCCCTGTCCCTCTGTCACCACTGCTGTGGTGTTTTTTAGCTGTTTATAGGTTTTTTTTAGCTATTTATAGTGGGGTTTTTTAGTTGTTTAGTGATTTTTTACCTGTTTATGGTGTTTTTTGGCTGTTTATAGTGGTTTTTTAATTGTTTAGTGATTTTTTAGCTGTTTATATTGTTTTTTAACTGTTTATAGTGGGGTTTTTTTAGCTGTTTAGTGATTTTTTAGCTGTTTCCCACCTCTGGAAGTGCCCAAATCCAAACTGGCACAACCTGGCACAGCGGGGGCGGCATCCTACCCACGCCAAGAGGCACGAAGTGATTTCTAAGACCCAAAACTTGGGATTTTTCGCAGCACCACCTACATTTCTCACACACGGCCCCCCCTCTGCCCGCGGGGCAGCTGCAGCTGAAGTCGTGCCCGTCGTCCTGGCAGGTGCCACCGTGCAGGCAGGGCTGGGACTCGCAGGGCCGCGGGGCTCGCGTGGTGCCAGGGGGCAGCGGGGTGGGCTTCCTCCTGCTGCTGCTGCTGCTGCTGCCAGGGCTCCTGCTGCTGCCAGGGCTCCTGGTGCTGCCCACCACGGGGCCGGGGCTGCCCCCGGGCTCGGCGTGCTGCCCCAGGGCCGCGGTGGCCGCGGGCACCCTGCGGGTGGTGCCCGGCGCCATGGTGGTGGCCGTGGTGGTGGTGACGGTGGTGGTGAAGAGCCGGGGGATCCAGTCTGGAACACAGCAGGGCTGGGGTCAGAGGGGGAGGGGATGGGGGCAGCTGGGGGGATTTGGGGCAGCTGGGGATGGGGTTGGGGTCAGGTGTGGGTTAGGTTTACATTCATGTGTGGGTTAGGTTGAGGGTCAGGTGTGGGTTAGGTTTCGGGTTAGGTATGGGTTAGGTTTAGGGTCAGGTGTAGGTTAGGTTTAGGGACAAATGTGGGTTAGGTTTAGGGTCAGGTGGGGGTTAGTTTTAGGGAAAAGTGGGGGTTAGGTTTAGGGTTAGGTTTAGGGTCAGGTATGGGTTAAGGTTTAGTGTTAGTTTTAGGGTCAGGTGTAGGTTAGGGTTAGGGACAAGTGTGGGTTAGGTTTAGGGTTAAGTGTGGGCTATTTTTAGGGTCGAGTGTGGGTTGCGGGTTAGGTATGGGTTAGGTTTAGGGTCAGGTATGGGTTAGGGTCAGGAATGGATTTGGGTTAAAGCTAGCATTAGGGTTAGGGTCAGGTGTGGGTTAGGGTCAGGAATGGATTTGGGTTAAAGCTAGCATTAGGGTTAGGGTCAGGTTTAGGGTTAGGTTTAGGGTCAGGCATGGGTTTGTTTCAGGGTCAGGTGTGGGCTATGAGAGGAGCAGCCAGCGTGGTCATAGAGGAGAAATCTGCAACCTAAGAAGCCTCAAAGTGGACAAAGATTGGGTTTTCCTGGGATGCTGCCTGTGCCTGTGCCAGGCTCCGTGTGCCCACTTTTCCTGGGAAATCTGGCACGGGTGGAGCAGAAGCTGTCCCAGACTGGCCACCACCCCCCGAATCCCAGGATCCCTTTGCAGGCCACAGCCCCACGGGTGGCACTGCCATATCCCATGGAAAAAGGGGGAATTTTAACCCTTTGCTGGTTCACTCGGAGCGTGGGGAGGCCCTGGAATGGATTTCCCAGAGAAGCTGAGGCTGCCCCATCCCTGGAAGTGTCCAAGCACCCTCTGGAAGATCCCTGCCCATGTCCAGACCCTTTTAAGGTCCCTCCCAACCCCAAAAATGTTTGGGGGTTGGGATTCCTCCACCATGAGAAGCTTTTGAAGGGTTGCCAAGACCAGCAGAGCCCCCTGGCATTCTGAAACCCCAAAGCAAGCGAGGGGGACTCACCAAAATCCATGAATTTGATGTGCTCCTGCTGGGGCTTCTTCACCAGGATGGTTTTTCTCTTGGCAGCTCGGAGCTGCTTCAGCAGGGCCCCCTGGATGTCAGCAGCCGTGTAGGACGTGGCTGGTGCCAGCCAGGAGGGCAAAGGAGGGAAGCAACAGTGAGCATTCCAACAGGAATTTCCCTCCCATGACCTCTCCAAATGTCTCCTCTCCCAAGGAAATAATCCTCCTTTGCCAAGGAAATAATCCTCCTTTCCAAGGAAAATAATTCTCCTTCCCAAGGAAATAATCCTTCTTTCCCAATGAAATTAACCCTCCTTTCCCAAGGAAAATAATACTCCTTCCCAAAGAAAATAAACCTCTATTCTCAAGGAAAATAAACCCCCTTTCCCAAGGAAAATAACTCTCCTTTCCACGGAAAATAATCTTCCTTTCCAAGGAAAATAACCCTCCTTTCTAAGGAAAATAATCCTTCTTTCCCAAGGAAATAATCCTCCTTTCCAAGGAAAATAAACCACCTTGTCCCAAGGAAAATAACTCTCCTTTCCACGGAAAATAATCTTCCTTTCCAAGGAAAATAATCCCTCCATTCCCAAGGAAAATAAACCACCTTTCCCCAAGGAAAATAACTCTCCTTTCCAAGGAAAATAATCTTCCTTTCCAAGGAAAATAATCCCTCCATTCCCAAGGAAAATAACCATCCTTTCCCAAGGAAATAACCCTCCTTTCCAAGGAAAATAAACCACCTTGTCCCAAGGAAAATAACTCTCCTTTCCCAAGGAAAATTAACCCTCCTTTCCAAGGAAATAACCCTCCTTTCCCAAGGAAAATAATCCCTCCATTCCCAAGGAAAATAACCATTCTTTTCCAAGGAAAATTACCCCTCCTTTCCCAAGGAAAACCCTCCCAGCTTCCTCAGCGTGCAGCCCCTCCCAGCTCCCCTCACACGGAAATTTTGCAGGATAAAAGACCCAACCCCACTGAATTTTAGGATGGTTCTTTCCCTCTCCGCCCCACACGGATTTCCCAGCCAGAATTCCTGCTGGGAATGCCCAGGGAATGGCCCCACCTGGGTCAAAGTGGGCCTCCACGATGACCCTGACGGCGCTGCTCTGGCCCAGGTCCCGCACTCGGATGCTCTTGAAATCCTTCCTGACATCAGAAGCCCGGAACAGCTCGTCCAGCTGGGGAAGGAAAGGGTTAACAGGGAGATCCTGGCACGGGGATCCTGCCAGGGAAAGATCCAGGCTTGGATTTGCTTCCTGTTTGCAAGGCAGCCAGGTGACAGGGAGGGGACAGGGGACAATTCCTGCTGCTCTTTAGGGCCAAGGGAAGAATGGGATCCATAAACAATTCCAGCTGTTCTTTATGGCCAAAGGAACAACAGGATCTATAAACAATTCCAGGTGTTCTCTAGGGGCAAGGGAAAAGTGGGATCCATAAACAATTCCAGGTGTTCTCTAGGGCCAAGGGAAGAATGGGATCCATAAACAATTCCAGCTGTTCTTTATGGCCAAAGGAACAACAGGATCTATAAACAATTCCAGGTGTTCTCTAGGGGCAAGGGAAAAGTGGGATCCATAAACAATTCCAGGTGTTCTCTAGGGCCAAGGGAAGAATGGGATCCATAAACAATTCCAGCTGTTCTTTATGGCCAAAGGAACAACAGGATCTATAAACAATTCCAGGTGTTCTCTAGGGGCAAGGGAAAAGTGGGATCCATAAACAATTCCAGGTGTTCTCTAGGGCCAAGGGAAGAATGGGATCCATAAACAATTCCAGCTGTTCTTTATGGCCAAAGGAACAACAGGATCTATAAACAATTCCAGGTGTTCTCTAGGGGCAAGGGAAAAGTGGGATCCATAAACAATTCCAGGTGTTCTCTAGGGCCAAGGGAAGAATGGGATCCATAAACAATTCCAGCTGTTCTTTATGGCCAAAGGAACAACAGGATCTATAAACAATTCCAGGTGTTCTCTAGGGGCAAGGGAAAAGTGGGATCCATAAACAATTCCAGGTGTTCTCTAGGGCCAAGGGAAGAATGGGATCCATAAACAATTCCAGCTGTTCTTTATGGCCAAAGGAACAACAGGATCTATAAACAATTCCAGGTGTTCTCTAGGGGCAAGGGAAAAGTGGGATCCATAAACAATTCCAGGTGTTCTCTAGGGCCAAGGGAAGAATGGGATCCATAAACAATTCCAGCTGTTCTTTATGGCCAAAGGAACAACAGGATCTATAAACAATTCCAGGTGTTCTCTAGGGGCAAGGGAAAAGTGGGATCCATAAACAATTCCAGGTGTTCTCTAGGGCCAAGGGAAGAATGGGATCCATAAACAATTCCAGCTGTTCTTTATGGCCAAAGGAACAACAGGATCTATAAACAATTCCAGGTGTTCTCTAGGGGCAAGGGAAAAGTGGGATCCATAAACAATTCCAGGTGTTCTCTAGGGCCAAGGGAAGAATGGGATCCATAAACAATTCCAGCTGTTCTTTATGGCCAAAGGAACAACAGGATCTATAAACAATTCCAGGTGTTCTCTAGGGGCAAGGGAAAAGTGGGATCCATAAACAATTCCAGGTGTTCTCTAGGGCCAAGGGAAGAATGGGATCCATAAACAATTCCAGCTGTTCTTTATGGCCAAAGGAACAACAGGATCTATAAACAATTCCAGGTGTTCTCTAGGGGCAAGGGAAAAGTGGGATCCATAAACAATTCCAGGTGTTCTCTAGGGCCAAGGGAAGAATGGGATCCATAAACAATTCCAGCTGTTCTTTATGGCCAAAGGAACAACAGGATCTATAAACAATTCCAGGTGTTCTCCCTGGCACGGGGATCCTGCCAGGGAAAGATCCAGGCTTGGATTTGCTTCCTGTTTGCAAGGCAGCCAGGTGACAGGGAGGGGACAGGGGACAATTCCTGCTGCTCTTTAGGGCCAAGGGAAGAATGGGATCCATAAACAATTCCAGGTGTTCTTTATGGCCAAAGGAACAGGATCCATAAACAATTCCAGCTGCTCTTTAGGGCCAAAGGAACAACAGGATCCATGAAGTGGGACAGGGATGTTCTGTGACAATTCCTGCTGTTCTTTAGGGCCAAGGGAAAAGTGGGATCCATAAACAATTCCAGGTGTTCTTTATGGCCAAAGGAACAGGATCCATAAACAATTCCAGCTGCTCTTTAGGGCCAAAGGAACAACAGGATCCATAAACAATTCCTGCTGCTCTTTAGGGCCAAGGGAAAAGTGGGATCCATAAACAATTCCTGCTGCTTTTTAGGACCAAAGGAAGAATGGGATCCATAAACAATTCCAGCTGCTCTTTAGGACCAAGGGAACAACAGGATCCATGAAGTGGGACAGGGATGTTCTGTGACAATTCCTGCTGTTCTTTAGGGCCAAGGGAAGAGCAGGATCCATAAATCAAGCGGGACAGGGAGCCACCGTCCATTTTGTGACCACTTTGGGCTCATCCTGGGGGTGTAGAGCCAAGCTGGATCCATTGAGGAGATCTTTTTAATCAATCCCTGCTTTATTCTTGAAGGCTGTTCTAGGGCAGCCTCAGGGCACCAGCAGGGCTCCCTTTGGTGGCAGCTGTGCCCCCCAGGGGCACGGAGCTCACCGCGCTCTCGATGCTCCGCGCCGTCTCCCCAAAGAGCTCGGATTTGGGGTCGGCCATCTCCGGGGTGTAGAACAGCTCCTGGCCCTCCACCTCCTCCAGGATCAGCACTCCTTGGAACACTTTGGTGGCTGGGGGAGGAGGGAACACAAGACAAAACCCTTGAGCTGGGCAGGGGTGGCGAGGGAGCGCCGGAGTCCCTGGGAGAGGGGGATGGCAGTGTGGGGGTAGTGCCAGTGCCGGGTTAGTCGGGATGGGACGGGGACAGCCATGGAGGATTAGTGCTGGAGCAGATGGCAAAGACCAGGCTGGAGATGGCAGCTTTTACCAGACGGGTTCCTGCGAGCTCCGGCCCGGAGAGCAGCCCCCCTGCACCGCTGGGTGACAAGAGAGACACGTTAGAGGACACGCCACGGCCCGGGGGCACCCACAGGGGCACAGCGGGGCCAACCCGGGGCTGGGGGCGAGGGGGACACCTGGCACAGGGCAACCACAGCCCTGCCAAACCACATGGAACTGCAGCAGGAATGCCAGGGCTGGATCCTGCCCTGGGGATGCAGAGGATGGAGAGATCCCGCTGTGGGAACCACACAGGAGCCTCCTTTTCCTTTCCATTTTCCCCTTTCCTTTTCCCTTTCTCTCTCCCTTTCCATTTTCCCTTTCCCTCTTCCTTTTCCCTCTCCCTTTTCCCTTTTCCTTCCCCTTTCCCTCTTCCTTTCTCTTTTTCTTTTCCCCTTTCCCTCTCCCTTTCCCTTTTCCCTTCTCCCTTCTCCTCTCCCTTTTCCTTCCCCTTTCCCTCTCCTTTTCTCTTTTCCTTTTCTGCTTTCCTTCTCCTTTTCCCTCTCCCTTTCCTTTTCCTTCTCCTTCTCCCTTTCCCTTCACACAGGACTTTTAACCCTTTATGGGTTAAAAGGGAAAGTGCTGTTTTCCCAGAGGCAAAGGGGATGTCCCACTGGAAACCCCAAGGAACAAGGAAGGACTTGAGCGAGGAAAAATCTGGGACGTGGCCCCTGAGGAACAATTTTCAGGATAACGAGGATATTCTGACAGAGCAGAGGTGGGGCTGTGCTTCCTCAGATTGTGGGAAGGAGGAGAGATCCCAGCTGGATCAGGGAGCAGCAAACACCCCCAGGAAGATCCCAAATCTTCCCCCAGCCCCAAATTCACTTGGAGAGCTCTGTGGCTCATCCCCCTTGAAAGATCCCAAACTCCTGACCCCAAATCAACCCCAAATCAACCCCAAATCAGCCCCAAATCCACCTGGGCAGTTCTGTGTGTCATTCCCCTTGAGAGATCCCAACTCCTGACCCCAAATGGACCCCAAACCCTACCCCAGTGCCAAATTCACTTGGAGAGCTCTGTGGCTCATCCCCCTTGAAAGATCCCAAGCTCCTGACCCCAAATCCAGCTGGGCAGTTCTGTCTCCTCTCACCCTGAGAGTTCCCAAACTCCTGACCCCACACCAGCCCCAAATCCACCTGGGCAGTTCTGTGTCACCCTACCTTGAGAGATCCCAAACTCCCGACCCCAAACGGACCCCAAACCCTCCCCTAGCCCCAAATCCACCCAGGGAGCTCTGTGGCTCATCCCCCTTGAGAGATCCCAAGCTCCTGACCCCAAATCCAGCTGGGCAGTTCTGTGTCCTCCCACCCTGAGAGATCCCAAACTCCTGACCCCATATGGACCCCAAACCAGCCCCAAATCCGTCTGGGCAGTTCTGTGTGTCATTCCCCTTGAGAGATCCCAATTCCTGACCCCAAACCAGCCCCAAATCCAGCTGGGCACTTCTGTGTCCTCCCACCCTGAGAGTCCCCCACTCCTGGCCCCAGAGGAGCCCACCCCAGCCCCAGGCTCACCGGGGCAGTTGCTCCCCTCGGCGTCGGCCGCGGCGGTTTTGCCGTCGGAGCAGCAGCCCAGGGCGCTGTTGTAGCACGTGGCCCTCTCGATGGCAGGTGTGGATGTCACCTGGCCCTCGTCCAGCTCCTCCTCACCTGGGGGACAGCCAGGGGACACCCGGCAGTGACGCCTCTGCGTGGCACCCGCCCCGCTCGTGGTGACATGCTGGGGGTGGCTGAAGCCAGCAGGGGACATTCAGTGGGCTGGCCCAGGGGACATTCAGTGGCACTGTCACAGTGACACTGAGCATGGCACTGCCCTGGGGACACTCAGTGTGGTACTGTCCTGGGGCACTGGGCATGGCACTGCCCAGGGGACATTCAGTGGCACTGTCACAGTGACACTGAGCATGGCACTGCCCTGGGGACACTCAGTGTGGTACTGTCCTGGGGCACTGGGCATGGCACTGCCCAGGGGACATTCAGTGGCACTGTCACAGTGACACTGAGCATGGCACTGCCCTGGGGACACTCAGTGTGGTACTGTCCTGGGGCACTGGGCATGGCACTGCCCAGGGGACATTCAGTGGCACTGTCACAGTGACACTGAGCATGGCACTGCCCTGGGGACACTCAGTGTGGTACTGTCCTGGGGCACTGGGCATGGCACTGCCCAGGGGACATTCAGTGGCACTGTCACAGTGACACTGAGCATGGCACTGCCCTGGGGACACTCAGTGTGGTACTGTCCTGGGGCACTGGGCATGGCACTGCCCAGGGGACATTCAGTGGCACTGTCACAGTGACACTGAGCATGGCACTGCCCTGGGGACACTCAGTGTGGTACTGTCCTGGGGCACTGGGCATGGCACTGCCCAGGGGACATTCAGTGGCACTGTCACAGTGACACTGAGCATGGCACTGCCCTGGGGACACTCAGTGTGGTACTGTCCTGGGGCACTGGGCATGGCACTGCCCAGGGGACATTCAGTGGCACTGTCACAGTGACACTGAGCATGGCACTGCCCTGGGGACACTCAGTGTGGTACTGTCCTGGGGCACTGGGCATGGCACTGCCCAGGGGACACTGAACAAGACACTGCCCCAGGGACACTGAGTGTGGCACTGCCCAGGGGACACTCAGTGGTACTGCCCAGGGGACACTCACCGTGGCACTGCCCAGGGGACACTCAGTGGCACTGCCCAGGGGACACTCACCGTGGCACTGCCCCACGTGCTTGACCGTGATGTGCTGGCCCTGCCTGCAGGCGATGGTCCGCAGCTGGCACTGGTCCCCGTAGGTGACACCATCAGAGCCACACACCTGGGGACACAGGGGACACCGGAGCTGCCCCTCTGGGCCCCTCCCAGTGGCACCAACAGGGCCCTGAACCCTGGCAGTGATTGTGGGGGGCTCCTCTGGGGCACAGAGGGACCCAGGGCGGGCTGGGGGGCACAGAGCAGCTCAGGGATGCCAGGAGACATCTGTGACCTGTGTGTCCCCCTTGCCCAGCAGGGAACAACTCCTGCAGGGTTTCGTGTCCCACCCCAAAGGTCCCCAAGCCCCCCAGAGGTGTCCCCAGACCTTGGTGGTGTTGGCCTCGGAGCACAGCGGGGACGGGCACTCGCAGTGGGCGAAGCCGTTCAGCTCCACGCACGAGGCCCCGAAGTCACAGCTCAGCTCCTCGCAGGACCTGGGGGCTGAGGGGTCTGGGCAGGGCGAGAGGGGGAGCCGGGAAAACATCCCAGTTAGCAGGAGCCAAAATCCCAGTTAGCAGGAGCCAAAATCCCAAACAGGCAGGAGCCAAAATCACAAACAGGCAGGAGCCAAAATCCCAGTTAGGCAGGAGCCAAATTCCAAATAGGCAGGACCCAAACCTCAAATACACAGGACCCAGAACCCCCAGTGCTGCAGGACCCCAAATCAGCAGGACCCAAACCCCAAATAAGGAGGACCCCAAATCCCAAATACGGAAAAAAACACAGTTATGGGGTGGGAATGGGGGAAGGGGGGCCTGGCAGCCATGTGGGAATGGGGGTGGTGATGTGCCATCCGTGTCACTCAGGGAAGTGTCCCACCCGTGGGCAGTGTCCCCTCACTGTCACTCAGGGGTGCCCCATCCCTGTCACTGATGGGTGACACTCCTGTCCCACTCAGGGGTGTCCCCTTGCTGTCCCTTAGGAGTACCCCATCCCTGTCCCTCAGGGGTGTCCCCTCGCTGTCACTGTCACTGTCACTGGTCACCCCTGTCCCACTCAGGGGTGTCCCCTTGCTGTCCCTTAGGAGTACCCCATCCCTGTCCCTCAGGGGTGTCCCCTCACTGTCACTGTCGGGTGACACCCCTGTCCCCTCGGGCAGTGTCCCCTCTCCCCCTGTCACGGTCACTCACGCGTGCAGCCGCTCCTGCCGTCGGTGACGATGCCGCGGAAGTTCCAGAAGCCGGGCTCGCAGCGGTCGCACTTGAGGCCGCCCACGCCGGGCTTGCAGGAGCACTGGCCCGTGCCCGGGTCACAGGAGCCACCGTAGGAGCCGTAGGGGTTGCACTGGCACGTGCCTGAGGGCAGGGACAGCAGGGGACAGCCGTGTCACCTGTGCCACCCTGTGCCACCCTCCTCCATCAGCCCCCAGGCTGAAGCCGCTGTCATCAAGAGCTCGTCTCTCATTAACATCAAAGGGGAAGGAAGCTATTAGAGGGTGATTATTAATTCATTAACCAGCAGCTTGATGGAGGGAAGGCAGCCAAAGATAGACAGCCAGACGCTGTCCTTGTCCCAGCGGGAAAGGGACACAAAGGGACACAAAGGGACAGCTGGGGAGCAGCAGGAGGGGGTGAGGACATCCCAGGGGCAGGGAAAGGGAATGCCCATGGATAAACCTGGCCCAGGGGTTCAGCTGCTCCTTGGGTGGTGAGGGACACACGTGGGACACAGGTGGGACACGGGTGGGACACAGACTGGTGGCATCCGGGTCCATGGATTGGGGGGCAGGATTTCCATTGGAAATGCCAGTCCTGGGGAGCTGTGTCCATGGATTCCATGGATGGGGGGCAGGATTTCCATCAGAAAATCCAAACATCATCACTGCCAGGACAATGGAAAGGCTCCTGTCCCCTGGAGCATCCTCCTGGGCAACACCCCCCCAGCTCCTGCAGCCTTTCCCGTTTTCCAGCTGTGTTTTCCCCATTATCCAGCTGCTTTTCCCCATTATCCAGCTGTGTTTCCCCCA